TCTGAGGAAGGGTCACCGGACCCGAAACGTTAACTCTGTTTTCTCCTCCACAGATGCTGCCAGACCTGCTGAGCTTTTCCAGCAACTTTGTTTTTGTTCCTGATTTACAGCATCCGCAGTTCTTTTGGTTTTTATTTAGTATTTTTCATGTCCTCTCTTCGCTCTCCTAATTTCTTTTTAAAGCAATCCTCTGGCCTTTCTGTGCTCCTTAAGGGCATTCACTGTCTTGAACCTTTGTTATCTTACAGAAGCTTTTTTTTAAGCTCCTTATCCAATCCTGTGCATCCTTTCATGTTTTGGGTTCTCTGGATTTGTTGATCCCACCTTTTCATCTTTACAGAAACACGTTGGCCTTGCATTCTCACTATTAAACTTTTGAATGCCTTCTACTGATCTAATATGGATCTTCCAGCAATAGCCGCTCCCAGTCCAATTTTGGCCAGATCCTGTCTTAACTTGTTAAAATCCACCTTCCCCCAATTCAGAATCCTTATTTCTGTTCCATCTTTGTCCTTATCCATAATTACCTTAAATTTTACTGAATTACAAGTCAGGAGTGTGATGACATTAATGTTACCTCTTAGCTACAAGTCTGCGCACTCCAAGGTTCCCCACATGGTGATTGGCGTAGGTTGGAAGGAATACATTCTACTTGCCTGGATGAGTGACGCTTCAAAAACACTCAAGAAATCTGACACCTTTCCAGACAAAGTAGCCCTATTGACTGACTTCCATTCCAGCACCTTCAGCATTCACTCCTTTCACCACAGTCATACAGTGGCAGCAGTAGTTACCATCCACAAAATGCACTGCAGTAACTTGCCAAGGTTCCTCTGACAGCACCTTCCAAACTTCCATATGTGCAACCTCTACCGCCTAGAACCCTTGAAGGACAACGGCAGCAGGTACACTGAAACAGTGCCAGCTGCAATGTCCCCTCCAAGCCACACACCATCCTGACTTGAGAACTATATCACAGGGTCTTTCTCACGGTCAAAATCATGGAACTTCCTCTCTAATAGCACTGTGGGTATCCCTACATCATAAGGCAGCATGTCCAAAGATGTGCAAGTTAGGTGAGGTGGATAGGCTTTGCAGAAAGAGGAATTCCTAGCCTCTGACTGCTATTGTAGCCACAGGCTGGTCTAGTTCAGTTTCTGAGCAATGAACCCCCAAAATGATGACAATGATGCATTCAGTGGTGCTAATGCCATTGATGTAGAGGGATAATAGTCAAATTTTCTCTTGTTGGAGCAAGTCATTGCCTGTCAGCATAAATGTTACTCGCCACATTGCTCATCACCCTAAGACCGGATGTTATCAAGGCCTTGATGCGTATGGACACAGACTGCTTCAGTATCTCAGGAGTTGCAAATTGTGCAATCATTGGCAAATATCCCCACGTCTGCCGTTATGATGGAGAGATGTTCATTGATGTAACAGCTGATGATTGTTGGGCCTGAGGCACTGCCCTGAGACACACCTCTGTCCTGGGGTTGAAATGACTGACCTCCAACAACCAAAAACATCTTCCTATCTCACATCTTCCTATCTGCCAGGTATGAATCCAACCAGTACAGAGTTCTCCTGATCCTCATAGAGTCCAGTTTCACAAGGCCTCCTTAATGACATATTCAGTCAAACATTGCTTTGAATTCAAGGACAATCATTCTTTTATCTGTGTTTGGTCCACGACTATATTGAAATCAGGAGCTGAATGCCCTGATGGAACCCAAACTGAATGTCGATGAGTAGATTATTCCTTTAAGTGCTGCCTGATAGCCTTGTTGATGATCCCTTCCTCTCTTGTTGGTATCCTCACCACTTGCCACAAACCCAGATTAGCAGCTGTGCCCTTTAGGATTTGGCCAGTTTTGTCAGTAGAGATGCTGAGTCACATTTGGTGGTAGACAGTGAAGTCCTCCACTCAGATTAGCCTGTGCCCTTATCACTCTCAGTGTTTCTTTTAAGTGTTGTTCAAAATGGAGCAGTGCTGATCCATCACTCGATGGAAGCGGTATATGGTAATCAGCAGGAAGTTGCCTTAACCTGATGACATGAGGTTTCCTGGGGTCTGGAGTCACTGTTGAGGTCTCCGGGGCAACCCTCTCCTGACTGTATAGCACTGTGCCACCACCTCTGCTAGGTCTGTCCTGCTGGTAGAATAGGAACCATCCAGGGATGGTGATGGTGATGGTGCTGTTTGGGACGTTGTCTGTAAGGTATGATTCTGAGTATGACTATGACAAGCTGTTGTTTGATTCGCCAGTGGCTGTGTGATCTATTTCATGTCCCAATTTTAGTACAAGCCCCAGATGTTGATAAGGAAGTCTTTGCAGAGTTGACAGGGCTGTTGTTTGCTGTCATTGTTTCTGGTGTCTGTGTTGATGTTTGGTTTCTTTTCTTGTCTTCAGACTTTGTCACAGCTTGATACAACTCAGTGACTTGTTTAGCCATTGCATATGGCAGTGAGAGTCAAACATGGTTATTTTTGCATTTAGATAGTGAGGGAGTTACATTTGCACACCTTGCTTTACACTAAATCACAATTATACATCCAGGATCTACTTGAACACGAAGCTAAAAGTGATTTTTAAAGTTATGCAACATTTTGTGTTCGCCATCAGAACAATACAATGCCTCCAGGGCTGCCCTGGCAGTGCTACTGAACTGGCACACCTCCCCTTTGGTATGTCCAATGCTTCTCAGAAAGCAGATGCCTCATAAACCCATCAGGGCTTACAACTCACAGTTTGAGAACCTATGGTGTACAAACTTCTTTCCTCCAGAGATAGTAGGAACTGCAGATGCTGGAGAATCCGAGACAACAAGGTGCAGGGCTGGATGAACACAGCAGGCCAAGCAGCATCATAGGAGCAGAGAGGCTGACGTTTCGGGCCTAGACCCTTCATCAGAAAAGGGGGAGGGGAAGGGGGTTTTGAAATAAATAGGGAGAGAGTGGGAGGTGGATAGAAGAGGGATAGAGGAGAGGTCTTTCCTCCAGTGTCTTTTCTCACATTTTTTCTCTGACCCCACAGCATAACAGATATCTCTGTCTGTCTGTCTCTCTCTCTCTCTCTCTCTCTCTCTCTGCCCCTCCATTTCTCCCACATTCCATCTCTTTTCCCCACTGTTTCTCTTCTCCTCGTGTTCCCTGTCTTTCTGTCTTTCCAAATGCTGTTGCTCCCTCTCTGCCCTGCCCCACTGTTTCCCCCTCTGCTTATGCTATGTCTCCCTTGTCCCACCCACACGACCCACCCTAACCAACACCATCCTATATCTCTCCCACACACCCTCTGTCTCCCCGCCCCATCTCTCATCTGCCTTTTCTGTCACACCTCATCCTCCCTGTGCTTCAGCTCCCCCTCTCTTCCTACCACCTCTCCATCAACCCTCTCTCTCTCTCAATCGCTCTCTTTCACTCCTCTCTCTCTCACATGCCCCACCCCTTTCTCCCACCCCTCCCTCTCTCTCACCCCACTCTCTCTGTCACTTCGCTCTTTCTCTCATCCCTCTCTCTCTGTCCCTGCTTTATCGCCAAACTGTCCCTGCCACTCCTCTCCTTCTGTCACCACACATTCTCAAACTCCTTACATCCCCAGTGTCAGTCGGTTTTTCCTCTCTGTCCCTGCTTTTCCTGTCTCTATTGTGCACATACTCTCACACCCACGTCTTCCCTGCCTGTCTCTCTCAAGCTTGTGCATGATTTGACCTGTACAATCTCAATGTGATGGAAGTTTAAATGTGGATAGATGTTTGCTGGATTCAACATTTATGGCCAGTTAATTCATATATCTCACTTATTGCTGAAGGTGCCTTCGCTGCCTTGTGAAGAGCAATAAGATGCAGGGTTATTGGTGAGGATCAGTGTGATGGTTCAGTCATTTGGATATTTCTCTTCTTTTTCAGGAGATCCTTGAAATGGAGAAGAAGAATCCTCAGGAGCTGGTTGGTAGGTATTACAGTCATGAGAAGGGGGTTGATGCTGTTGGTATTGTGACTCAGGGTAGACCCACAGCTTCTGCACCAAAGTTTAAAGCAGGAGTGCAGCTGGAGTAAATCAGGAAATATTAAACAGATTACAACAATTACAAGTTTCAGAAGATTCAAGATTGTAAAATGTAATAAAGAGCTCTTCAATCTCGACAGAATTACAGGATTAGACTGTACAAGTCTTCACTTCAAACAGGCGAGGATACAAGAATGACACTAATGCTTCACAGGAGTTATTTTAGTGAACCAGATGGGTTTTTCCGACAATTGACAATGAATTCGTGATTGTCATCATCTTATTTCCAGATTTTTTTATTGAATTCAAATTACACCATCTGCCATGGCAGGTTACGAACCCAGAGCCTCAGAACATTACCTGGGTCTCCAGATTAACAGTCCAGCAATAATACCATTGGGCTGTCGCCTCCCTTTATGACAATCTGAACGAGAAGGGGAGTTTATACATGTGTCACTGAGGGAGGGTTTAGAGTTAGGGAAGCTACAGGGGGTGATGTAGCTGTTTCAAAGAGATGCAGGGTAATGTAGCTGTTTCAGAGAGACTCAGGGTTATAGAGCTGTACCAGGGAGGTACAGGGTTATTTATTTGTGTCAGGGAGGTATAGGGTTCTGTGCCTGTGTCGGAGTGGTACCGGCTTCTGTGCCTGTGTCATGGAGGTAACAGGATCTGTATCTATGGGGTTCTGAGCCTCTGCCAGGGAGGTACAGAGTTATTTACCTGTGTCAGTGATGGCTTGGGCTTTATACTTATCTGTAACTGAAAGCTTTACATCTAAAATACAGAAAAGCAATCCTGTCCCAATGTTGAAATATAGATTCGGGAACAGGGCCTAAATTGTTAATTTTGCATTGTTGGTCTTTAAGATTTGTCAATCTTGTATAGATCACTAAGCTATGGACTTATCTAAAAAGAAGTTAACACAATATCACAAAAGGTCACTACTAGTAAGCAGAATGAAAAAGTGTAAAGCAAAAAGTTTTGTTTCATTTATTCTCTCATGCCTTGTAGGTCTTAGAAAATGTTTGAACTTTTGTACACTTCTCGCTAAAGCATGCCCATGCTGGTTTTGAAATAGAATTGCAGTGAAGATACTCGGTGTCAGTTTTAAACGCTTTCAGGTACAGCACAGGGCTAGATACAGAGTAAAGCTGTTCTCTACTTTTTTATACTGAAAATAAAGCTCACTTAACACTGTCCACATCAAACACACTTTGAGCAGGGACAGCACAGAGTTAAATACAGTCAAAGATCCCTCAATGCAGTCCCATCAAATAGTACACAGACAGACACCACAGGACTTTGCAAGCCCACTCTAATTGTAATGTGAGAATGATCATATAACTTTTTAATGTTAATTATGGGATAAATGTTTGTCGAGGTACCAGAGATAACTGATATGAAAATACCATGGATGCTTGAAATCTGAATTAAGACAGAAAAGGGAAATGTTGGAAATGCTCTGTTTGTTAGACTGCACCCACAGAGAAACACAGTTATCGTTTCATGCCTGTGATCTTTGACCAGAACTGGCAAAAGTTAAAAATGTAATAAGTTTTGTGAAAGTGAAAGAGGGAGGGTGAAATGAGGAACAAAAGGGAAGGTCTCTGATGGGTCAAAGGTAGAAGTGATTAAGTGGCAAAAGATGTCAACGTGCAAGGCCACCGGAAGTGGGGATGAGTCAAGTAAGGAAACAAAAGATGACTCTAAAGAAGGTGTGAATAGCAAGGACTTGAATAACTGCCATCGGACCAAAAATGATGGAAACAAAAGAGAAAAACAAAATAGCAAACATAAATAAAACAAATGGGTGCAGAGATCATGATCTAAATTTGATGAACTCAAGTCACGAGTCCTGAAGACTTCAAAGTGCTCAACGGACACAGCAGCTACTGCTTTTTTGTCTGACCTTGAGCTTCAATAGAACACTGCAGCAGGTTAATAGTAAAGCTTGAGGGAGGGAGTAGCAATGGTCAGGGCACTGGAAGAACTCATCTACTCCTCAAAAAAGTGTCCTTAAATCCTTTATTTACAAATAAATAATCAGGCAGGACCTCTGTTTCATGTCTCTCCTGTAAGATGGCACATTGCACCAATATCCGTTTAGATTACGTGCTCGAGATCTGGAGTGGATTTTGAACCCTTAGTCAAGAATGCATCTTATAGATGGTAAACAGTGTGCCACTGAGTGTTGATGGCAGAGGAAGTGTTGCATCATGCTACCTGAATGTTGTTGGAGCTGCACTCATCCAGGCAAATCGGGAGTAAACTGTTGCACTCCTAACTTAAACCTTGTAGATGGTAAACAGGCTTTGGAAATTCAGGAGGTGAGTTACTTCCTCTAGGTTTCCTTGCCTTGGACTTGGTTTGTAGGCTCTGTAGTTGTTTGCGTTTCTAGTTCAGTGCCTGATCCATGTTACTCCTTGAATGTTGATAGTGGTGGATTCAGCAATGGTGATGCCCTTTAATGTCAAGGAGAAAATGTTGGCTTGTGGTCCATAAGACCATATGATGTAAGAGCAGAGCAAGCATTTCAGCCCATCAAAACTACGCCGCCATTCACCGAATCACAGCTGATCTGATGATTCTCAACTCCATTTTCCTGCCTTTTCCATGTAAGCCTTGATTTCCTTACTAATTAAAAATGCATTTCAGCCTTGAATATACTTAATAATCTAGCCTTGAGTGCCCTCTGCAGTAAAGAAATCCAAAGATTCACTAGCCTGAGGGACAAAATTCCTCCTCATCTCTGTCCTAAGTGTATGATCCCTTATTCTGAAATTATACCCTCTTTTCTTAGACTCTCCCACAGGGGAAACAACCTTTTCTGCATCTAAACTTTCAAGTCCCCTAAGATTCTTGTATATTTCAATAAGGTCACCACTCATTCCTCTATATTCCAATGAGTATGGGACCAACCTACTCAACCTATCCTCATAAGACAGTCCCTCTACAATTGGAAGTCTTGTTGCATGTAGATTGAGGTCCTTCAATATCTTGAGAAGTTGCATATTCTGCAATCATCAGCGGACAACCCCACTTCAGACCTCATGATGGAAGGAGGTCATTGAAGTGGTGTGGGCATTGATGGACCTGGGAGCTCCTGCAATGCTGTTTTTTGACCAAGATGATTGACTTCCAACAACCACACCCATCTTCCTCTGTGTTGGGTATGATTCTAACCAGTAGAGGGTTTCCCTCCAACTCCCATTGACTCCAGTTTTGTTGGGGTCCTTGGTGCCACATTCAATGAAATACTGCCATGATGTCAAGGGCAGTAATGCTTGCCTGTGTTCTGAAAGTCAGCTCTTTTGCCCATGTTTAGTCCAAGATCACTGTAATGACGTCAAGGTCTGGGTGGTACTGACATAACACAAACTGAATGTCAGTGAGACGGTTATTGTTGAGCCCTTCCTGATGTCACAAGGGGTGAGTCAAATTGGCTGAAGACTGACACCTGTGATGCTAAGGATCTCACAAGGAAGCCATGATGGATCATCCATTTGACATTTTTGGCTGAATTTGGTTGCAAAATGCTTCAGCCATGTCTGTTATTTTGACATGCTGGGTTTCTTCATCACTGAGGACGGGGATGCTTATGGAGCCTTATCATCCAACTAGTCGATCAATTGTCCATCAGCATTCACAATTGGATGTGACATCTGTGTAGCTTAGATCTGGACCATTGGTCATTCATCTCTGCCGATCACATGCTGCTTCCATTATTCAGTATTGAAATAGTCTTGGTTTGTAGCTTCACCAGGTTGCTACCTCATCTTTAGGTATTCCTAGTGCTGCTTTTGGCATGCCCTCCAGCACTTTTTTAATTCATTTGTGGGATGCGCTGGCTGGCCAGTATTTATTGCCTGACCCTAGTTGCCCTTGAGAAGGTGGTGGTGAACTGCGTTCTTGAACCGCTGCAGTCCACCAGCTGTGGGTTGACCCACAATGCCATTAGGGAGGGAACTCCAGCATTTTTACCCAGCAACAGTGAAGGAATGGTGATATATTTCCAAGTCAGGATGGTGAGTGGTTTGGAGAGGAACTTGAAGATAGCAGTATTCCCATATATCTGCTGCCCCTGTCCTTCTAGATGGAAGTGCTCGTATGCTTGGAAGGTGCTCGCTGAGGATCTTCAGTGAATTTCTGCAGTGCATCTTCTAGATTGTACACACTGCTGCTCCTGAATGTCAGTGGTGGAGGGAGTGGATGCTTGTGGGTGTAGTGCCAATCCAGCAGTCTGCTTTGTCCTGGATGATGTCAAGCTTCTTGAGCGTTGTTGGAGCTGCACCCATCTAAGCAAGTGGAAAGTATTCCATCACACTCCTGACTTGTGCCTTGTAGATAGTGGACAGGCTTTGAGGAGTCAGGAGGTGAGTTACTTGCAGCAGTATTCCTCGCTCCTGCATTGCTCTTGTAGCCACTGTGTTTATGTGGTGAGTCCATTTGAGTTTCTGGTCAATGTTAACCCCAAGGATGTTGATAGGATTCAGTGATGGTAACACGATTGAATGCCAATGGGTGATGCTTAGGTAGTTTCTTGATCATGATGGTCACAGCCTAGCATTTGTGTAGCGCAAATGTTACTTGCCACTTGTCAGTCCAAGCCTCGATGTTGTCCAGATCTTGTTGCATTTGAACATGGATTGCTTTAGTATCTGAGGAGTTGTGAATGGTGCTGAACATTGTGCAATCATTGGCAAACATCCCACTTCTGACCTTATGATGGAGGGAAGGTCATTGACAAAGTAGCTGAAGATGGTTGGACCGAGAACACTACCCTGAGGAACTCCAGCAGTGATGTCCTAAAGCTGAGATGATTGACCTGCAACAACCACGATCATCTTCCTACGTGTCAGGTATGACTCCAACCACCGGAGAGTTTGCCCCCGATACCCATTGATTCCAGTTTTGCGAGGGTCATTGACGCCACACACGGTCGA